CACAGGTATAGATTCCATCCTCGAGGTTTTCTCACTTCCTGATTACCCCCCTTCTTTACCAGTACCCTTTTCGCTTGCTTCTACTCAGACTTCTTATTTAACCTCTTCACATTAATCTTTTTTTATCGTAATATTTTCTTCCTTTTAAGAATTGCACCCTATTGTACACGCATTGTACACGTATATTTATTCTCGGAGACCCCCTTGATTTAGGCTTCGGCCTTTGGGGAATCCCTCAAATAATAATAATAATAATAATAATAATGTGGATTCACAGGAAGTGTGAGTTACGAAGTCTGAAGAAAACGTTGAACGGTCTCTGCTTGGATGACGACTACACCATAGCTCAGTGGTTAGAGCATCGTTGGCTACAAGCGAGGGTCCCTGGTTCGAGTCCTGGTGGTGACAGTCGATTTTTTCTTCAGACTTTTCCCGTTTGTCTCTTTCCCTCAAAACCAGTTAAAATAATAATAATAATAATATAGCCTTAGATAGACTTGCGAACACTGGGCAGCGAAATGGTGCAAGGCGCAGACACGAGTGACACGTCTGGATTTCATTGAGCAGGACTGTACATGCCGTGTGCTGTGTAGCTCTAGATAGACCTGCGAACGCACTGGGATGTTCACTGTTACAGGGCATGAAGATGACTCACTTGGTCGGATTTTATCCAGCAGAGGGGGCAGAAATATGGAGAGAGGAAGGGTAGAAACTAAATAAGTTGAAGATATTTTCCTTAGGAGAGGTACATTGTACTAAAAGGGGTAAGCAGTGACTTTCGGCCTGTTTATCAATGAAGTAATTCCACCTCCACTCTCCAGAAAGGAGACGTACATGACTTCTACCTAATGTGGCTATACCAGTGGCAGCAGTAGTGGCGGCGGCGTGTCTGGAGCGTGCCCTGCCGACCTGGAGCCTTGGCTGCAATGACGATGAAGAACACCCGGGAGAGGGGGGAGGTGCATGTAGTTAAGCACTGAAGTAGGGCGAAGAGAGTCACGTGATGGATGGGGAGGATCAATACAGTTTAGATAGATATGTGAGAATGAAGAGGGGTGAAAATGGAAAGTACATTAGTCGTTAGTTTCATTAGTCCCAAGATTATGAACTCAGCCTTCGTACAGCCATGGAGCAGAGGCATGTCCCGCCGACAGGGCCCTGGCCGAAACAGCGCACTGTACTGTCTAAACGACCACGAGGAAACAAAGCTAGTCTATTATGTTGTCCAGTGCATTCACTTGTGGATGGTCACAGGAAGCTTCCTGTGTATATGTACTAGCAAATGCCTCTTCACTTGTCGATTGCCCCTCGTGGGATTTGTTACGTTCTTGGTTCGTTGCAAAGTATGAACGGTCTCCTCCGATCACTGGACAACAGATATAGATCCTTGGACACCAAGTCCAACCACGAGTGAGCATTAATTCGACTCGTTCTCATATCACACTCACATCAAAGTGCTCTATTGACTACTGGTAGTACTGATTTTGCCCATCGTGTGACTCATGTAACATCAGGTCTGGCCCCAAACAGGTTGTTTCTACAAAGACCTTTTCCTGCTCGGAATCTGTCCAACTCTTGGACAACGATATTCGCACGTTCATGCCCAGCGTCTGGACTCGATTTGTCGTTGTCACCTCATGGAATACTATGTGCCCTTGACTTCAGTCTTTCAGGTCCGCTGTGGAAATGCCTATGTGGTCCAGTGTTCATGCAGACGTGACTTGGTGTTCCATGGCGAGCGTCTACGGACGAAGACACGCAGAAGGTGTACTGCAGATAGCCCCTTGTCAGCCTCAATTATTATTTTGACAACGATGCCACGTGTACACGTATATCCCCACGTCGTTCACCATTGGGACAGCAGGGACTAAGGAACCTCTTGTCTTGTTCGCTCTGAAGTAACACCAGGCAACGTTGCAACACATATTTGGGCAGAGAAGCTAACCTTGAGCGTCTCGTGGCCCAAGGTTTGCCTACAGTTAGGCCAGGTCACTTCAGGATAGACTGACCTTGCCAACGACATGTTTCAACCAGTTGATCCTGTCTTTGTAACTTACACGGCTCCAGCTCTAACACTAGTAACAGGTAACTGGTTAGATGGTTGAACACAATGAAAGTACAAGTGACATATCAAATCGCATAATAAGCTCAAAGACTCAGTGGTCCCTGCATAGGGGTTCCAGAGCCTTTCGCTCAGGCCCGGGGACATTGTTTTCAACCAGCCCACGGCGATTGGATGTGTCCTAGCTGTCAACTCTCAGCAGACACACAAGTGGGACGAGTCTAGCAGCCGAGCTAGCCGACACATGTAGCAGCCTTCCAAGGCCATGCCTGCATCGCCCGACGGGCTCGCAACACGTCGCGCGATTCTACAAAATGTAGTAGTCGACCGCAGCATCGTGTTCTACACGCAAGCTAAGGCCAGTTAGGGTGAGCTACGGAGTTGTACGAATGTTGTAGTTGATTTGTATAGGAGATGGGGGTTTGCGCTCGAGCTTGTTGTAGTTGAGAAGTTGAAGATCGTTCAGGCTCGGAAAGGGGCACCGCTCAACGGAAATAGCATCAAAAGGGTCGAGGAACGCATTGCTCGAGCTCTGTCATACCGCCCAACTGACAGACACAACGCCACGAGCATGCAGTGAAGCACGGCTCGTGCCATGTAGAACCAGGCCTGCACTGAGGCCTACAATCCCGGTCAAGAGTTTGATTGACGCTACAGGCTTGCAGCTACAAGCCACGCGCAGCGGAATTGGCACAATTGTGATTACAATGCCCAATGGCTGGCCACTTTCTTGCCCGGTTGAAACGACGCGCAGCAGGACAAGAGAACAAAAATAATTTTCTGAATCAGTCTTGGGCAAGGCCAACGCTTTCTTTAGCACGAAGTCATTCATTTTTCTAATGCTTCCCGCCGAGACTGCAGTCACAGTGCCTGTCAACTCTGGGCCCCTTGGAACATCACCGGCTTCTGCAAGGACATCTAACAAATTGCTTTGGCTTGCAGCTCGGCATATTCGTGTCCAAATTGCCCCTGGTTGTGGTCCCACGCAGCATGTTTTACACTTCGTGCCTAGCCCAGAATGCCTTTGCGCTGGCTACAGAACTATCCAGGGACGCAACGGAGCTTTTGCCTGCCTGGACTAGCTATGTGGGTGGTCGATCCTGCTTGCCCAGCATCAGATATCCCTCACTCAGAACGGCCGTACAGTTACACTCTGGCAATGATGCATTGATCCTGTCCTTTACTGTCTAGTGACGATCATACAGCTTGAGCTTGGGGTACACGTCGGCAGCCGTCAATGTCGAGTCGGTGGCCCCAGCTTGACTTTGAAACGGTCTCCAATGCCACCGACCACACTATGTGCTACTGTAGAGAGTACCGTGTCAGTGTTTTAGAACAGTGCAATCATGTACAGTTAAGATCCATGGCCGTCAGAAAATGATCAGCCACAGGTCAATAATACATTGTAGTAATAATTGCGTGTCACACACACACACAAACATACATAATTATACATGTACCCCCCCCACACACACACACTCTCTCTCTCTCTCTCTCTCTCACTCACACACACACACACACACACACACACACACACACACACACACACACACACACACACACACACACACACACACACACACACACACACACACATACACACATACACACACACATACACACACACACACACACACACACACACACACACTCTCCCTCACACACACACACTCACTCTCTCTCCCTCTCTCACACACACTCTCTCTCTCACACACACACACTCTCTCTCTCTCTCTCTCACACACACACACACACACACTCTCTCTCACACACACACACACATAATACTGCCTTGGCTTAGATTTAGGTTCTCAACACCATCCACAACAAGTGACTTCGTGACTGCCAGACAAAATCCTGGACACAGATGTACGATAAGGTCCTGGAGACATGCCCTGAATCAACCCTAGGGCGATGGGCCTACAACAAATCCCAAGGCCACAACAAATAGAATCTCTGCAACTTGGTGTAAGTGATCGAGTAATCGTCAAGTTTTGAGAGCTGTTTAACTCGACTCTTGCTTCGCCAGCCTTGATGCAATGGACGTTACGCAGAGTGGTATTGTGATTCGCCACGCTGCTGAGTTTTCCCCTATGCTATGGGAAGTCGGATCTGACCTGCCGGTCACCGGGGTGTCGCGGCGATCGCAGAGTCAACTAAAATGTCAAGTCAGTGTGGACTGCGGTTGGTTGGCAAATTCGCCCAGCCAGGCATGCATGCATTACCTCTGCCATCCCAAGGTTGTCCATGAATACGGGTAATGTGTGACGACAGCATGTGTGACTGCGTGCAGTTGCCACTGCGGCTAGCGCCAGCCAGAACCACCACCGACCCTGCTTTTTTGGTCTCAGGTAATGTTTATAAGGTATTGGCAGGTAGGAGCTCCAGCAGCGCCACCAGCAAGACTTGCGCACGCAACCTCCGCACACGAGCACCAGCACATTTGCACCGTCGTTCGTTGTGCGCAGGCGAAACCGGGACAGGCTGACTGCGCTCACATCGGGCGCCGGGCAGTTAAACGATTTCTGGTCCCAGCTATTTGTAGTAATTTCTCGCCTGCTCCGCTACAGCGAAAGCCTATAAAAACCCGAACATGAGCGAGCAAGAGTCAGGTATTCGCGTGACCAATGATAAGGAGGTGGCAGCAGCCTTTGCAGGAATTCTGGCTAGGGTGCATTCCCTGTTGAGCTTCAGCATCACTACTATACTAGGCACTACTTGAAGAGGTGACAATTCAGCTGACACCTTGCAACTGCCCAGTCAGAGTACCCCTTGTAGAGCGCAGGCGACGTGTGGGGTGCACAAGACATTTTCTCAGTCAGGCTTTCCTCGACTCTAGAGCACACTACTGTTGCGTATACTGTAGTATTGCATTTGGTTAAGAACACACGTCTAAAGGTTGCCTTGCTTGCCAGGCTTTTAGCTTATTCTAGTGCTTCTTGAACCCAGGCTGGAAGCGGCAGGAGTTTCTCCACATCAGATCTCTCCAAGAAGTCATTGCTCTGGTTTTGAGGAGAGAGAGGTGTGCTTTGTGAGGTGTCCCCAGCCTAGTGACAGTGGATGTGACACTCGTGGAGATCACAATCTTGAACTCAAGTTGAAGTCTTAGGGTAACTGGCAATCAGTGACTTTAGAGCTTGGGACACTGGGAGACGTCCAGCAAGATACCGTTGCGTCTCAGCAAAGACTGATACAAGTGGCGCACAAATCGTCATTGGTGCAGACCCATCTCATCATGGCGAGATTCTCCAACCGCATCATGCTCTCCATATGCTTCTACATGATCGTATCTGCGGTAAGTGATCTGATTGTGTCTAAGATCAGAAGATACACTGTTTACGTGCACAGTATGTACATCATTGGTGTGACGTCGCATTCCTCTGCATGCAGCATCAATGCAGTCACAAGGCCAAGCCTGTGGCCCGACTGTGGTCACTGTTGCCATCACGCGTGGTAGTGGAGACTCGTGGCAGTTGTGCAAATGGCTCGATTGAATTTTGAATGGGAGTGCGGAGACTAGTGCCAGTGGTATTAGCACTTGTGCAAATGCTCGATTGAAACTTGAAAGGGAGTGCGGAGACTTGTAGCAGTTTTGCAAGTGCTCCGTTGCAAGGGTGTGCTGAGACTGCAGTTGTGGAAATGTTCGATTGAAAGGGTGTGCGGAAACCAACTTGCGGCAGTTGTGGAAACGCTCGATTGCAAAGGTGTAGCTTCGCGAACAGCCTGAAACCACGTCACAGGCACAGACCTGCTGGAAAAGCAAATGCTAGGGTGGTCGCAGCTCATGAATGCATTATCACGTATTGCCAATTACTCGGGATCACGCCGGAACCAGCGCGTTGCACATCCGTGACACTGACAGCTTGTATACAAGCGAAAACGGCAGAGGAAAGATCGAGTGTTGAGATGTCGATTTTCACACGCGGATTCAGTAATGCAACATAACTCTGCTGATGTTAATGGGACTCTCCATGATTGCTCTAATGAAATGGGCTTTGGTGCTACATTGAAATAGATTGTGTCTTCAGAAACCATAGTGACCGTGTCACGTGGTCTATCCAAACAAGGAGGCAAGAACACAGTAGGATTGTGAGACATATGTGCAGGTAGCAGAGGGTCTTATCAAGCCTATTCACATCGCCTGATTGAAATAGAACTGATCATGCTCCACTGAAAAGGCCTTTAGCCTCTGGGGCTAAAGTATTGGGACCGCCTCGATTGCCATATCCTCTCTCTTTGTTAAGTTGCGAGGAGATTGGCTCGTTGGCGAGAAGAACTCGATCCCTTCTTCCTCTTAACACTATTCCTATCTAGTCTGCATTGGATTTCACATCTAATAGAGGAAGCGCGTCGATCGTGTAACCTACGTGATCAGACGTACCGCCGTTACACTCATGGATGTATTCAGTAACATGCGGAACGTGCTGCTTACAGCACGAATCTGGGTTGCTCAAGTCTATCGCATCGTGACCTGCATGTTGAGTCCGTGATTGGCTATTAGTTCGCTGTGAGAACGCCGAGCGGGGGACCCTAGAAAGGGGGTGTGCGCATGGCACTGTGCCGTGCCGAAACGGGAATTCACTGCTTGCATGCCAGTAACAAGGCGACATGTGACAAGCTCTTTATCGCCTAAACGGGACGCAGATAAGACGTTCTGAACGCCATTAGTCCTTCCCTTGGCCCGCTTAATACTTGTTGTGTTGCCTACGGATCAGAAGCGGAAGGCAAGCGCCATTTGAGTGTGACCTCGTTACAGTCTTAACCCTGTGAAGGTGAGAATATTGTAGCCAGGTGGAAGAACGATGTACATGAATTCAACGCGACCAGCCCAGGTTCTTTCGGCGATCTCAAGACCTTCAAGAAGTCAATCATCAGATGGTGCGGCACTGAAAGTCAACTAAAATACATTTTTATGAGGGTTGATAACGCTCACAGGGTTAGTCGTACTTGAATGACCTAAAGTATATGACGCTCGCATCACAAAACCAATAGCATCCCCAGTGTGGTCAGAAGCTGCCCGTTTAGGCTCGACTTGGTGCAATGTTCCAAGTTGGGAGCATTGATGTTACGCCACAACGAGGTAAGATGTAGGCGAGTTAGCTGCGTATCTAAATCGAAGCATGTTCTAGAGGGACGGAAGCCGAGCTGAAACGTGATTTCGTACGTTAACTACATAATCGGAACAACGAGGAACTACATACATGTACACGTGTGTGCGGCAATACACGGCTCGACAGTTCTTGTGCGCCGTTCGACTTCATCAAGATCAACATCTCGTCCCAATGGTGGGTGAATGGAGCCAGAGAACGTGGTCTTTCTGGAGCCCTGGTCATAGAGCTCGAGCCGAACGATTCCTGTGACGCAGACCTGTACGCGCACAGGACCTGCTAGGTAAGGCAATAGGAGTCTATGCCAGATGGAGGACAGGTGCCCCGCTGACACGCCATGATCGTGAAAGAATAGGCCAGTGCAGGCCGGAGACAATGATATGGTGACACAAAGAAGAGACCATGGTACGCGCTACAACACCTAATTGACTATTGGAAGAGTTCCCTTCGGCACAAGGCCCGGGATTAACCACTGCCTGCCAGGCTACGCTTCCCCTTTCTAGTTTACACTCTTCAGCGGCAGCTGGGCTTCGTGCCGTTCAGCGTACAATAGCTAAGCTTCTTATTAACACTGTATTACAGGGTATAATCCCAATAGACGTTTGCCTTCCTTGTTCTGACTTATTCGTCTGTGTGTGAAGTAGGTCATTCCTCTCCTGTCCCATCTTGTGCCCATATCTATGCATAACGGCAACAACCAGTAATTCCAGGCCAGTTTCGGCGACTAACCAACCCCAGCGCTCACAGATACTTCCCATACTTGGCTAACAGTGCGATTAACCAAAGCATGCGTGAGTTGGGCTTGCGCCATTCGTTGTCCCTGCGAAGGATGCCTTGAGAAATCACGTAGGATGTCAGGAAACCGCCGGGCTCGCAAGAAAGATACCCATTTTCGAGAGATACGCGAACTCGCAGTAGCCAAATGCAGCTTGGCACATGCACGAAATCGCCGCCGGCCAAAACAGTGTAGGGCAAAGAAGCATAAGAGAGAATGGTGCACTGGTGTGGAGAGAAAGGTGCGATTGTTCGTGACCCCTTTCTCAACGGAATCACGTTTTCGTCCGGTGGAATTGGACCATGCCCCGCCTCCCGACTGAGCGGTTCATGGTTCAAGCTGACCTGTCAACTTGATTGTCTTCGACCCTGCAGGAGAGGGAGGGATTCAACAACAAGTCGCCATCAATTTGACTAGAAATTGTCGATAGTCTACTGGATAACTCAGTGGGTTCGCCTGCATGATTGTGTGTTTAACCTTTGTATCCCTGTAGCCACTTCGGCCAGAACTGCATGGTAGCCTGACCAATTGAAATCACCGCAATGCGGAATGGAGAGCATCGTGCCAAATTGCCTCGCCTGGAGTGCTGCATTATGGGCTCGGTGTTGTCCTCTTCTCGTTTGCCCAGCGTTCACGATCACCATCATCGCCCTGTTTCCAGTCTGCTGGATAGGTGGCCAAGCGGTAAACAACTGAGACTTGGTGCACGTTTCCGAACGATATTCGCATAGTAGTTTATGATGTGAAAGCAAGTATCGTAGTAGTTTATCGCACGTTTCTACTACCTTGCCACTGGCGCAATACTGAGACTAGCCTTTCTGCCTGAGGAGCACTCTCGTCTCTACTTTTTCTACAGCTTGCCCCAGATATTCGACTGCTGAGCTGCAACTAACTACTTGCATAAAGTCAGGCCAGTAAATCGGAAACATGACAAAGTCACTGGACAAAGCTGCTCGGATCGATAACAGTCTGTTGCTAACGGGCGAAAGCGGTTTGCAGCAGAATTGCACGCTTGACACATGTACCTTCTGGCGCGTCGAGGACCTGTCAGAAAGGCTACTGCGCGTTGACAGCAGCTTGTCGTGCGCACATGCTCTCGACTCGCGGGCTGCATCGTGCCCAGAATCTACAAGCCTCTATTGCCCAGTTTGGACACGCTTGCTAATCCCCCAGCTCGATTCCAACACGACTTGTTGAGGGAGCTGCAGCAATACACGGTGTATGTATACAGTACTGGCTCAGCGGTAGGTTAACGCGGTCGCTTTCTTTCCCCCTCCGCACTCCTTTCCATCATCTTGCTGCAATCTTGTCTTGGGGTTTCTCATCTTGTCGCTACCACGCACACGCTAGCCATGCCAGGCCGCCCCAAAGTACGCCACGTGTCCTGCAGTGTCAACCGGAGAATTCCTGCTGGGCACCCCGCTGAGAGGCGTCATTCATGTACCACAGAGTAGGTCCGATAAGGAAGCCCTCCTACTGCCTCTCTTGAAAAGGCCATCTTCCTTCCAAAACTTCCAGAAACAGTCCCGCCATACATGTATGTGCAACTGTGATGGTACCTTCCCGTGACCTATTGTCTATTGGCCTAGCCAAACCAGTCAGTGGCTGCAGGCTGCTGGACAAACGTGTCTCTAGATCACCGAGAAATGCTCTGGTCAAGGGCTACGTCAGCGATGATGAATGTGCATTGAGCGGGGTCGTGGGTGGAGTGTTGGCGATAGTGCATACGCTATATTCATAACTTTCATAAACGTCCAATGTACACGTACAATGTAGCTGCACAACAAAAACTTTCATAACTTGTGGTATCAGTTTTGTGGGGTACAGTTTTCAAATCCCTCTCCTCGAAAAACACCCGTACATAGGGTATTATCAAAAATGATGTAGTTGCGACGCCCGCACAGTACATAGCACGGATGGCGACAAGGGCCAACATGACATGCTGTGCAGAATAGCACTATGGAGATCGACATTACGTCACATGCCCAAGTAAAATTTTTTTATTATTTAATAATAAAATTCAATACGATACATGCAGTGATCATTACGTACATGTATGTTGTACGACCGAGTGATCCACAATGACGTATGTGACTATAATGTGAGGCCCAAACTATACTGATATAAGCAACAACAAAAAATGATTATAAGCCTATTATTATGCTCTTCATATAAGCTACAGCCTACACTACTAGTACTGAGTGCTAGTATAGGCCTTGGCCTTGTGTATGGTCACACACGGGTTCGGCAAGCATAGACTCATTCAGGAATTGTATGCCTACGAACTAATGACTTGTGTTTTGGTTATGTAGTTGCATGTTCGTAGAAGTGCGCTATTCCGGCCATTGCATGTTTCGTCGACAGTGTCTATTGACCGTAATTGTTGTTACACAAGCCACTGCACTGTCCTAGTTGAAGTCCGTTCAAAGTGCATGTGAAAATAATGGAAAAGCCAAAAGCAAAGTGTAATAGTGTATACGGGTGCGGGTATGCCCGGAGTCGAGTACCGCGGTAAATTCAGGTAGAGTGAAACCTGTAACTAAAGACCACCGTGCCTAGCGACCAGCCTGGTACTACAGACCACTTCGCCAGGCACGGACGGTCTCACGTTCATAATAATGGTTGTGCTGTGCAAAACCTCTAACTGAGGACCACCTGCCACTAAATACCGCTTTCTCTGGCCCAAAGGAGTGGTCGTTAGTTACAGGTTCTACTGTACAATGAAGTAGATTGTATGTCATGTGTATCTTACATGTACATGTAGCTTTGGGCTTAGGGCTTGGCGTGTTCTTTTCACACCGACCCCATTCCATTTCCCCATGACTGTAACCATCATTGTGTTAAGTTTAACAGTGCCATAATCGTACATTCTACAAAGGGAAGAATTGCTTTTTTTATTTATTTTTTATTCCAAGCAATAATTTACAATTGATAACTACACTATAGATTAGGGGTAGAGCATCGATGGCCTTTCCCATAGGTAGTTCCCCGAATGGAGTCCTGGTGGCGACTGTCAGCCTTTCTTCAAATCGTTCGTAATCCTGAAATAAAGATTGAAATATTTTTTCCTCTTTCAAATCTTTCTTCAAGCCGTTCCCCCCCCCCCCCCCTTTCAATCCCTCCAACACAATAATATTATCATGTGACACTGGATCAAATCAGTTTCTTTTTGAATTTTTAAATGGGTTCAACTCCTGTCATGTCACCTTGTCTGCATGGCAATTCTGTTCGTCTATATTTAGCTCATAGTCGTACTACACGTAGTCACTGACGACTCAGTGACGAGGTCTAGGCTGGAAAACTACTGTTGTTGTCTGAATAAATAGCTTTAGTACAATGACGTGTTCGTATTTTTGTCCTTTTTCACATGTCATTTGCAGATCCGACTTGCTCGTTGTTCAAACATCGAGACCGAAGAGCGACCAAGTGACCGCTTTTCCAGCAGCTCGCCTTCATTGCGACTGGAGGAGCGCTCCGCGCACGGAACGGCTAGAGTGCCAGGCAACAACAACCACAATTCATCGCCGTCGTCTGTCAAATCCTCGCCTCACTGCTTACCAACAATGCCAACTGTTCGTCAATGCTGCACGCCGTCGGTGCGGCGAAGCTGCCGTCTGATGGACGAATGCAGGAGCAGTATGTGCGGCTCAGGACAAATCCCGATAGCATGCTTGGGTCTCATTGGCCAGCGAGGGCCACACCAATGCTATGCCAGTCACAGACCGTTCTTCGTCATCGTCAGGCAGGGCGGCTACGGAATCTCGGTTGGCCGCGGATTTACACCCCAACTGGACCCAGCAGACGTGCGAGCTGTGTCCACGCTGGCGATGACTGACTTGACAGACGTGGAGATCAACCTCGCCGAGCTGGAGGCGGTGGGTAGCTCTCCAACCATGTTCAAAGCGACAGTCCACGCACAGGGTGCTAAATCTGTCTGCGCCCAGCAACGAGCAAAGTTGAAAGTCCGAGCCATTTGCATCAATAACGGAGACTGGAGTAAAACGGACCGGGCTCTGCGCTACGACTCTACCGAGACGTCGCAGACACTGAACGTTGAACTGCACGGGTGCACAAAACTACTGCTCAAAACCACGCTGGTGGTGAACTCTCGCATGACCTTTGCACTACGCCGTGCTTGCTATGCGCTGTGGACGGATGCCGTCATCATCGCTCCTCGACAAGAAAATCCCTGCGACTTGGTTTGCAACCAAACGGAAACCGTTGCGCTTACCTGCCTGAATGTGACAAGGAAAGTCTTACCTCCGCTGCCGTCCACCCACTCAACGTTTCCGTCTGATGCAGCCGACGACAGCGGTAGACCAAGTATCAGCGAAATCAAACCCTACTCCAGCTTTTCTGACAGCCAACAACCGGTCCGTTTGCGACCAGAGGGTAAAATGGCTGGCGATATTTCCCTACCACTGGATGAGAATCAGCCTCGGGCAGCATATGCAGTGGATATACACGCAGCGAGGCGCTTGGGCAAGAAGTTCGATTTTCTTTCGAGCCAGCTCATGGTGAGATTGAAGCAGCGCGGCTACCCGGAGAGCTGTGAGCCAACCGCGCTGGAGGCAGTGGTCGATTTCGAAGTCCTCGTGAACAAGAGATCGATCTGGCAAAGACGTATGGCCGTCAAGAGTAGCACACTGGACCGGAACGTGAGTGTGAGCGACATTGGCAGCTTTGCGCTGGACGTCTGGCAAGTGCGCACCCCGCGCGCAGTGACGCTCAAGGCAGAGCTGAAGTCGCTGCGCCACGCCGGCAACTGTTCGTTGGGAATCCTCGCTGTGTTCAAATCACCACAGCTGAAGCGTCAGGTGAAACCACCGCAGTTCTTCGCCTCCTGCAAACAGAACTGCCTTGACAAACAGCAGGCCGGCGACGGTACCATCTATCTAAGTTGTTTCCTGGGCATGAGAAACAAACAACGCCCAAGCAACTTCTCCTGCACGGGAACAATCACGGGGAGAAACAATAGCTTCATGAAGGTGAGCACGAACGGTGGCAAGGGTCGGATCGGAGTGGACAGAGCTGGCCCCTGGACGAGCAAGCATCAGCTTGTGACGTTGATCACACCTCACACCCGGTCCAACATCACTGAGTTCCAGCACGCCATCGGCGCTCACCCGAACAGCCGCGTCGTGGCCAGCCTGACGGCGTTCCGGGAGACCGGCCAGGCGTTCAATACGTTCAGTGCCGTGATCGGCCTGGACGTGCGATCCGGCTGCTCCACCAGACACCTGAGCAGCGTGCGCTTCGAGGTCTGGTTGGACAGGAAACTGCACTACTTTGCGGAGGTCAGCCACGCCTGGGCGACCAAAGAGATCAATATAGACGTGACCAATGCACTAGAGTTGATGCTAGTAACGGCCGAGGGTCGGCTGCATAGGAGATACTCGAACTGCCGACCCGCCGTCTGGGCTAATGCAAGACTCGCAAAACTATCGCTGGCTGAAAGCTAGCTGATTGGAGTGCATATGTGCATGCTTGTAGACGATGTTCAGTTGATGTTGCGTTCTAACTTATTCCTTTAGTGCTAACAATGCACCCATCTGGCGGCAGCCTCATGAGCTATAAAGACTCAGAACAAGTACCCCAAGCTTTCAAGGCAAATAGCCCTGGCCTCCTTCTCCTCCTCCTCCTGTCATAACATGCCCCGCATGGAGACGGAGACTGCCCGCGACAATCAACCCACCTTTTTGCTCAGTATTCTAATGTGTGCGATATGACACAATCACAACAGCTATTTCCACGTTGAAATTTACACTAAAAATAAACATACGCATACCATCCGGGTAAACAAATCCAGTCGCATCGAGCAAATCGTTGAGTATCTATACCGGCATTGCAGGTGTATTGCCCTTTATAGACTGGTCATGTCCTGAACAAAATTCTACAAAATTCTACCCCCCCCCCCCCCTCATCCATGAGCCTTGACAACTTTATCACCATCTCCATGGTATTCAAACTGTTTCAAAGACATATTTACCTAAAGGGTGTTGTTTTCCTCATGATGAACTCTATTGCCTTTTCATGTCAATTGCGACCACGATGTGTAATGCAACACTATGCTAGACGTTATGTCATAACGAAAGAATGCTCTTTCTCGCCTTTCACTATAATTATGGCACATACTGTGGACTGTGGATGGAGAGGCACACTGCCAGCAATGGGGAGAGGAGAGAGAGAGAGAGAGAGAGAGAGAGAGAGAGAGAGAGAGAGAGAGAGAGAGAGAGAGAGAGAGAGAGAGAGAGAGAGAGAGAGAGAGAGAGAGAGAGAGAGAGAGAGAGAGAGAGAGAGAGAGAGAGAGAGAGAGAGAGAGAGAGAGAGAGAGAGAGAGAGAGAGAGAGAGAGAGAGAGAGAGAGAGAGAGAGAGAGAGAGAGAGAGAGAGAGAGAGAGAGAGAGAGAGAGAGAGAGAGAGAGAGAGAGAGAGAGAGAAAGAGAGAGAGAGAGAGAGAGAGATAGAGAGTAAGTTACATTTATAAAGACAGGTAAGTCTAACAAATGAGGACTGAGACCTCTACAACAGGGTTTTTACGCCTGAAAGCAGGTGCATGATTTAACAAGCAGGTTGTCAGTCTAGATTTTATGCGCAGATGGAGAAAAAGCGCAGAATTTTTGTAATGAGATGAAAAGCAGAAACAATAAGAAGTAATAAGAAAAGATGAAATGAAAGCCTGCTCACAACCCCGCCGAGCCTTGCGAACTGGGTATGGTGGATTAAGAACCCGGTTCAACGCTCGAGCAAGCGCTCTCCACTCAAGGTGTTCACAGCAACTGATAGGAACTCATATGGGGAAACTATAGAAAAGAAATTTTTAATAATAAGATAAGGAGAATAAATTTCAACGCACCTCAATAAACGGAGCCCCACATACAGTACCTCAGAAAAGTGGATCTTCCGCCCAGTGTTTTTGTTGACGTCGCAACCAGATGATGTAGCTGCTTCGCAGAGACGTCTTACTGCACAAATTACAAATAAACTCGGATGTTGAGCCATAAATAAATGTAGAAGAGAAAAGGACATATGGATACGAGTTAAGAGTAACTCTCCATCACTGTACCATGATACTATATACAGTCAGAAAGTGCAATAACTAGGCACAAAACTGACAGAGTACTGAAACATTCGACGTCCTGACACCTAGCTTCAACACATCTCCGTAGCGCTAACCGACAGCCTTCCAACTTGGAAGGTTCAAGGTTATGGAAAGACCAAAGAGGGGAAGGCAAGCGCAACGAAAACGACCAAAAGCTACAGTCCCAACGGAACAAAGAATGTGGATTGTTACTGGACGATGACGAGACCAGTACGATATTTGACAAAGCGGTCTAACTACAATTCGAAGCAGCAAAGCAGCACACATGTCAAATATCGTACTGGTCTCGTCATCGTCCAGTAACAATCGACATTCTTTGTTCCGTTGGGACTGTAGCTTTTTGGTCGTTTTCGTTGCGCTTGCCTTCCCCTCTTTGGTCTTTCCATAACCTTGAACCTTCCAAGTTGGAAGGCTGTCGGTTAGCGCTACGGAGATGTGTTGAAGCTAGGTGTCAGGACGTCGAATGTTTCAGTACTCTGTCAGTTTTGTGCCTAGTTATTGCACTTTCTGACTGTATATAGTATCATGTTACAGTGATGGAGAGTTACTCTTAACTCGTATCCATACATGTATGTCCTTTTCTCTTCTAAATTACAAATAAATTGTATTCTTCGATTAGAAAACCCAAGCGCTTTCAGAGCCCTCCGAAGAGAGTCCGGGAGAGAGAGAGAGAGAGAGAGAGAGAGAGAGAGAGAGAGAGAGAGAGAGAGAGAGAGAGAGAGAGAGAGAGAGAGAGAGAGAGAGAGAGAGAGAGAGAGAGAGAGAGAGGGAGGGAGGGAGGGAGGGAGGGAGGGAGGGAGGGAGGGAGGGAGGGAGGGAGGGAGGGAGGGAGGGAGGGAGGGAGGGAGGGAGGGAGGGAGGGAGGGAGGGAGAGAAGGAGGGAGGAGAGAAGGAGGAGGAGGGAGGGGGAGGGAGAGAGAGAGAGAGACTGCAGCCTAACTTAGCTTAACTTTGATGTGACCATGTACCCAGCTAATGTCTCTGCTTCGTTCAGGGAATTCAGAATAGGAAGTCTGCTGTACCACCCGCTCTTTTCTTTTTACATTTAAAAGCGATTATTAGCGATAACATGGAAATTTGTTCCTTGGCTCACCGTCTGAGTTCTTAAAGCTACTATTCATTTTCTGCTGCCCCGGTTATTTCTTTTATTAGTATTATTTTCTTTGCCTTCGCTTTCTTGTTATTGGGCAACTTGCCCGTTAGAATCTGCGAAGTAAAATAAACAACAACAACAACAACAACAACAACCTTCCAATGCACATTGCTAGCGGTATGACATTGCCGACTCGAGGAGAAGAATACTCATTCAGGAGCTGCAGATGAGGGTGGGATGGTGAGCACTATCTTCACAGCTTTCTGCCAATTGCGGTCATCTTGATCTTTTCGCCATGCCAGATGATCAACACTGTTGGAAGCTCAGCTGCAGCAAACTTGTAAGTGGCTTCGTGGAGCTTGTTCCGTCTACTCGAAGTGTATGTTTAGTATCCCTCTGCTGCTTCCATGAGACGGATCAAGTCGATTGATGGATCTTTGTTTTCACCTTCTGCTGCTTACTGCGGCAATATCGCTCCGAATCATTTCAAAAAAGCGTTTTGCCTTCTTGACGTCACGTTGGCATCACGTTGGCATCACGTTGGCGTCACGTTGGCATCACGTTGGCATCACGTTGACGTCACGTTGCCATCACTACAAGGTGTTATAAACTTCACAATACAACTCTCTAGTAGAGATGTCTGATGGACAGAAAATCTTGAGAGAACTCCGTAACTCTAGCGACAGGGCTGATACGCACAGCCTTCGTAGATTGTCCTTGACTCACTCTTGTCCTGGTTTGCGTAGGCTTTCAGGTCCGCTCAAATGATCTTGAGCGCGATATTCAAGCTCCTTTCGATTTTTGCAAATTTTCTGGTTCAGTTTCATCCGACTTTTCTGACTCTGACACATTTCCAACCATTTCATATGACTTGTGGCCATCAGAACTTCCTCCGCCATCATCCATACCCGGCCGCTCCCGCTAAATCACGGACACTAGAACTAAAGTGGAAGGAAGATTCGACTAAGGTGACTAATATGACTTTTTCTCAAAATAGCCATATTAAGAAAGCATCGCTTCCGATCGCACCCCCAAGATGGCGATTCCCACTCGTCTTCGCAACCACACCGGAAGCCGTGAAGATACGCCTTGCTTCTTCCTCGATTCAAAAATATCGTGTTCCATGCGGAAACAAGCTGCTGTTCAGAAAGAAGTTTTTTGATTTCTCTGTGCTCGCAGTTGTTCCAGGATGTAGTTCTACTCGTTGCAGTGTTTCTGTAGCCGTGGCTGTTTCTACGCTGGAAAGAATCACTGGCCATGGATAATGCAAAACAAAGGCAGTTCCACCTCTTGACCTGAACAACCTCTTCTTCACATTGTTGTCCCCAGCGCGGGCTTGCGAATTAGATGGTTTGGAGGCAACAACGTTGTGAATGGCCAACGGTCCTCAGCGCTTGTTCAGCACCTCCATGAGCGACACTGACTCACGCTGCTATCTGGTGTTCACGAGGTGTTTGTCGCGCTGGAAACGGAGCGTCTCTGTAAGTTTGTATGCCTGGTGATGTTTGTGCCTGGAGAGCACTATATAAGTGGTGCTCTTCAGGCACAATCTTCCTCAGCCTACTCAAGCTCAACTGATGAGGGGTGAATTCCCCGAAACACTGTGTATTGAGCAGGGAGTGGTTCGATGGACTTCTCCTGTGCTCTGGATGGCAGTCGTGAGTCTGTATAACTGCGGACTGTAAGCACTGACACAGCAACTCAGTAATCGGCTGGACGCATGGCACCGCAGAAAATTGCGGTACCTGCTAGGTGTGGTGTACCCTCACCACATGTCGAATGCTAAGGTGTACGCCTCAACGCGACAAGGCCCAGTCAGCACTACCTGTCGCAGACGTCGGCTGCTCTGGCTGGGCCATGTTGTTCGCGAAGGACGTAACTCAGCGTCCTACCAAGCACTGGAGATGGCAATTAATACCCGGAATATCAAGCCCCACGACCCCATCTCAGATGGATTGACAATATTAAAAATGATCTAAAGCACGCCAATATTGATATTTCTGACTGTTTTGAACTGGCTCTAGACAAGAAAAGATGGCTGATGCTTGTGGAAAAATGTGCTGCGCTTGCGTAGTTGTTCTTACTGCGATACGTTCTAACAATAATGAGATGCCTTTTGTTGGCTCTTCTGCCTGGATTTGTTGACAGATGCGTTAAGCCCATGGATCCTTCCATGAGTGACATGCGAACTGTAACTTTTATTATTATTATGGTATTGTCATTAATGAGTGTGGGTATTTTATCAAGTATCTAAATTAAATAATTTAATTTTTAATAATATCTGAGAAAATCGACCTTCAGGGCTGTTTTGGTGAAATTGATTTTTTTATTGCAAATTGATGTCTAGCCTTTGTAGAGTATTGTGACTTCGTTTCACGGCCAGCAGACCAATATTGACCATGAAGAAATGCATTTTACGGTCAGGTCTCATGTTAATGAATTGGTTTTTTTGACAATAATATTGAAAGATTAGTGTGTTTGGAGCCACCAAAATCGTTTCCATGTGATATAAATAGCCAAGTAATAATAGTAGAGTGTTTGGAGTGTTCAGGTACTTCATTTCCAGCATTCCGTGACTTTATTGAGGTTGTGTAGTTGCAACAGCAGAAATAGCAGCATTAGAATGATAGGTGATTTATCTGTTCTCCTGGTGATGGACATGCTTGACAGGATGGTCTGCAACAGATTTTGACGGAACACCATGAAAACAGCATTCACATAATTATTGTGAAGGAGTCAAACAGAGCAGATGCGTCCAGATTCGCCTTGTTGCACTTTGTAGAGACTGACGGAATTATTTCCAAACATCAGTAACACAGCCTGACAAGCGTTTCACACCACTTACTCGAGATTGTCCAGCCTCATGTGCTCCTTGATGGTCTGATTCGCCATTATTAGCTGGAGTATCGAGCTTGCCA